AAGCCTCTGCTGTTAACCACAAGGATTTTTTCCTAATGGTTTCAGTATGGTGAAAAGTCAACCTAAAGCACAGAAAAAACCTTGTGTGAAGATTAACAGAGACAAAACTAAACTAAAACGTCTACATTTAATACACATGCAAAGGAGACAAAAATTTATAATACTTAAGAGTTAAATGATAGATGGTCTGGTCAGTTATCATTCAGAAAGATAAAATCTCTATCAAAATACAGACTATGTAAAGCAGCGACTAACAAACGCACAAGCCACAGCAGCTGTTGCATCTTCCACACGAACACAGGTGACAAGGACAAGAAAGCTCATAAGGAACCAAGTGCCACCCCATCCTCTACCATCAGGAACTTAGAAAGAATAGAGTAAGATTAAGGAACAGTTTAGTCAAATTTTACTCAAAGATCAGCTAACTAAAGGGGAAAGACTTATCGTTACTGTTCTCAAAAGGGTCAGGAAAATTACCTGTAACCTTAATTCCATCTTCACTAAAGAATACAAGGGGCAAAAATAACTACTGAAGAATGTAACATACTAGAAGTCTCCAGACCCAGAGAAGCAAATTTAGACCATCACCTATAAAAACAGAAGTACGCTTCTAAGACTTTGTCATATTTTTAATGTAAGCAAATCTAGCACAGAATATAATTAAATATTCAAAGATAAAATCCATGTCACTAAAATTTACCTGATCATTAACACCATCTGCCCCCACCAAAAATCTCATCTGGGACTCAATGACACTTTATAATCCCTCCACAACATGAGAACGTGATCAGTTAAGTGTTTATATCTCTGTGCTAATGAACATTAACATAGAGTTGGTAGGCTGGTCTACTTGAAATTCTAACCCTATCTAGGAATTTAAGAGCTTTCCATTTGTCAGGTAACAGTCCCAAGCTAAAACAACTGGGACAAATCCAAAACATTCAAACATAGAGAATGTTTCCACATGTACAGGGCGAATCTTTTTATGGAAACATCAGGAGCAATACCAGACTTGTGAATTGTCAATCAGCTGTAAGGAAAGCTGAAAGAATTCAAGATAGTAAACAGAGGGCCAGGCTGGGTTTATGGGCATTATTTAGTTTTCTGAAACCTAAAAGTCTATCTTGTAATACTTTCAATATATAGATCTGCTCATTCATCCACTAGCAGTTATATAGTAATATATTTGCATACACAAAAACAAAACAAAAAAACTAAACAAAACTGCTTTTATTATGTGAACACTATATAGAAATAAAATATAATCAGGTTATTTTGGTAAAATGATATCGCCGATGAATTCATCTTTCTTAACCCACTAGCTAGATTGAAAATGCTATTGTGAAGTCAACAAAACCTTCAGTCATCTCTAATTCATAGGATATCTTTAAAAATATTTTCTCTGTAAACAAAATACTGAAAAAAGTGTCAAAGTCTTTCCAGTCAACTCTGTACTTACTAATTACTAAAAAATTAGAACAAACAGGTTAAAAAAGGGAGGCAGGCACAGGAAGTTACACCTGTCAAAGTGATAAAATTGACTAAAATCAGGGCAACAACAGGCACATGGTCCATAAAGACATCAGACATTACTATTCTAAGGACAGAATGACAGTTTAAATTAGATCAGATAAGAAGCATGCCCAGCCCTGGCCAGGTGGCTTAGTTTGTTGGAGTGTCCTCCCCTACATCAAAAGGCTGTGGGGGTTCCATCCAGAGTTGGCAAGTGATCAATGTCTCTCTCTCTCCCCTTCTCTCTCTAAAAATCAATGAAAACATATCCTCAGGTGAGGATTTAAAAAAACAAAACAAAAAAGTATGCCCAGGTTGGAATAATCTCAGAAATAAGCAGAGTGAGAAATAGTTGATTTGCCCCTACCCCTATCCTGACCTTCTTCTTAAGACCTCCCAATTAGCACCCCCTCTTTTATTTCACTAATCTCACATCCCACTGCTATATGGATCACTCTGCTCTGTCAACCCCCAAAACAGGTCCTCTTTTGGCCTCTGGACTGTTCCTTGACCATCCCTGTATCAGTGTTTGCACTTGCTGTTCTCTTAAACTGGAACACTCTTTTCCTAGAGGCTTCAATCAGGTTTCTACTCAATGTTATCCCCCATCAGAAAAATCTCCCACCCCTCTTAGTCTTCTTCAGGTTTCTTTACAGCATTTTACACCACCTAAAATTCAATGTATGTCTGTTTACTTGTTTAGTATGTATCTCTCCAATGGAATGTAAGCACTAAAAGGGCTAAGACTTAAATTCACCACTGTATTCTTAGCACCTAGAAGTGTCCAAACATAGTTGGTGCTGGATCAATATTGGGGGAAAAAGTTGAATGAACAATAACATCTGATAGTGCTTAATACTATATCCAATATATGTAAAGAACATGTTATTTGAGATAAATATTAAGAAATGTTTGTCTCAGCTCTGACTTTTCTTTGTAAAGATGATAGAATTTAAAGCTTTCCTTATAGTACTTTCTTTAGCATCACTGTTCATTAGAGAGCAAGGAAACCGTATGAATGGTTAATTCACTCTGCCCTAACACTATCATGTACCTATTAATTTAATGTTTGTTGCTGCAGCTCTGAGTGATCAGACTTTTGGGCTGCCTCATCACTTATTCCCTGCCAGAGATCTTATCTAGCTGATTCACTGCTGCATACCTGGTGTCTAAGAACATACAGGCACAGAATGTGTTAAAAAAAAAGATGAAACTTATTATAGTTTTCACCTGGGTTCCTATATGTGCCAAAAACAACCTGAGTTTACCTGTGGTCCTTCTCTAGTCAATCATCTGATTTGTTTCTTTAAATTTAATGTTAGATTAACAATACAAAAATTTGCTTTTGTCAAGGGAAATGCAAGTTATTTTAATACATGCAATAAAGAAAAAATTGCAAAAGAAAAAAGTCCAGAATTTCAGCGTTTTAGATAACTTTCTCTATATTAAGAGAAAGCAACAGACAAATAGGAGCTTAACAATATATTTCGGTTCACTGATACCCTTGATTTTTAGGGAAAGTATTATTATTTCATATTTTACCACAAAGTATGCAATACATTCTAATGTCATCAGCTAAGCAAGAAATAGATCAAAATTTCCCAATCTCAAGTCTTTCCCTATATTTAGACTTACTGGGTCCTGTCAGAAAAAGGATGCCTACAATTTGACTGCTGGCAACGTACTGTTTCACTTTCACACTCTGGTAAATCAGTGTGTACTTAATTCGTGTCCATCGTGGGAACAGACACGATGAGCCCTACATGCCCTCCCTCAAAAGGCAATCACTGTCTACACAGGATCTTCACTTTACAGGAAGAGTTCTGGACACGTCCTCCTCAATCTTCCAACTAACATTAAAAGCAAAGCCAAAAAACCCTTTATGATATTGCTTCTTCTTTGAAACACAACACATTAAGCTTTTGAAAGGAGCAATAAAATTTAAAAATTAGAAAGTTCCTAATAACACCTGTGCCAGATAAAACAAAACTGAAGTATCTTCCCCAACCAAACAAATGACTGGTCTACCCTCACTCTAACGCCCCAGGCGAAGCCTTCGCGTATTTCTAACTGCATCCCCACTCCTCAGTGTAACGGAACATCAGGAAGCACAGGAAGTTAAGACCCGGAATGTTTATGCGCGGAAGGGCCGTGAGTTCCCCGCGGCCAGTCCTCCGCGCTGGGCGGACTCTCCCTCGGTCCCAGACAAAGGTCCGCTAGGTGCCGGAACTCGCACCTGGGGCTCTCGGGTCACCTCTCTCGCCTCCGTCTCTTTACAGACGCTCACATTCACAAGACTGACTGTGTTCACTAAAACTACGTCATCTAAGCTGCGGCGAGTTCCAAGCTCTAGGAACGCCATACGGGAAAAAGGAAAGCTTAGGTCCGGTCGCGGCGGCGGCGGCGGCGGCGGGGCCTGGCCAGCAGCGCCCACAGCTCGCGACACGCGCCCAGACCGCAGAGACCAACACGAAGGAAAGAACAGCAGAGACAAAGAGGCGGGCAGCGGCCGGTGCGGTGCGCGAGCAGAAGGCGGGGGGAGAGCGGAGCCAAGATGAAGGCAGCGAGGCAAGTGACGGGAGGATGCAGCGGCGGCGGCGGCCACCGAAGGGCAGCGGGGAGGCTGCAGCGCCGGGCTTGCGCTCGGGCATGCACGCGGCCGAGGACGACGCCACCACCCGGCAGCGCCCGCCCGCGGGACGCCAGAGCGTGATCACCAACGGTCCGCGCACTCACCACAGGAAGCTCCGTAATGGCGGCGGCAGTGGCGAAGGACCCGGGAGGCGGGCCCGCCGCAGCCAGTCACGGCCACCGGCATCTTTCGAACCGGCTAAGAAAACCGCTGAGGGAGTGGGGAGTGAGGGGGAGGGCGGGACCTGAGCGCCAGGCCCGGCCCGGCCTCAGAGCATGCGCAAACGCCTCAGCCAATAAGAGCGCGGCGGGCGGACCCTGGCGCAGGCGCGCTGGGACGCAAGGCCCCAGACCAGGGAAGCACTCTCCCCTCCTCCACCCCCCTCACCCTGGTACAAACAAAACAAGGGCGGGAGCGCGCGCCAGAGGGCCCCCGAGGAAGCGTCGAGAGGGGCAGGGGGCTTGGACGCAGGGGGGAGGGGAAGTAGGGGCGGAGCGGCCGGGGAAGGCAGACAAAAGGCGCCACCTCCGGGGACCCGAGCGCCCCGCCCCCTTTTCTCGGGAAGCGGCGTCGGCACCCCGGGCAAGCGGCCTCCGCCACTCGCCTTCGGGGTCTAGCGGGCCCGTGCCCACTCACCATCCGCCCGTTCCGTCCTCTGTTACCTCTGTGCTTTCCCCTTCCTGGTGCCCGCGTCCCGCACGGCCTCTCGGTGCCACTCCCGCTGCCACTCGTCGTCTCCGCCGCCGCTGTCCTCCAGGCCCAGCCGCCGAGCTCTGCCGCCCCGCCCCCCTGCCCGCGGCCCCGCGCGCGCGCTCCCGCGTCGGCCCCGCCCCCTGCGCGCCAGCGGCCACGGCCCCAGCCCGCGGGAGTGGAGGGAGCGCGGAGACGTTCCTCCCGGTGGGGCGCGCGTGGGCGCGAGAGGGCGCTCGGGGACCCAAGGCTGCGCGCACTGCCCTGGCGGCGCCGGTTGGCTTCGGAGGCGGTGTCGCTTGGCGCAGAAGGGCACTTTGCACTCCTTACCCGTCCTCTCCTCTCTAGTTCGGCCCCTACTCCTAACCGGGTTTCCGCTTAGGCGACCCGCTGCCTCTGGAGGGGTAGGCATTGCCCGCCTCTCTGTTCAGGCTCAGCACAGACCAAGCTGCGGCACCCAACTTGGAAGACGTGGAAGAACTGGAAAACCAGGTAGCGGAGAACTCGGCACCTCACATGCGTTCCGGTAAAGTGTGCACACAGTACAGGGCGGAGTAGGGGCTCAGGAAAGAACTGGAAAAGCTGTTTTCCTAATCTACGAAGCGGTCTTCCTGGACTCCCTAATTAGCATACACCAGGAGAGGTCTCCAAAAGGAAACCCTGGGATTAGAAAAGCAGGAATCTACTTGGAATTGTCATATTACGTTGGTATCTGCGTACATAGGCAGTGTACACACTGTCGAAAATGTAGTTTTTCAAAGCCGATTTGGAAAAATACGATGTATTTAAAGTAGCAGGTGGGGTTTTTTGTTTTTTTTTTTGGGGGGGGGGGCGGTTAGAGGGAGTGCCGGTAATGAGTATAGGGAAATAAACACTAGAATTGCCCCACGGCTCACAGCATTGTGACCGACACTCAAATGCATGTGCAAATCACTAAAGATTTTGAAATCCTTTAAACACTTGCTAGCCCACTGCTCAGTCTCTGCCGTTAACATTTGCACATCACAAGCTTTCCCAGCCATACCTATCCAAAACCACCACCACCAAAAATTCCTTACGAGCGGGGCATTATCATAAATGTTTTGATGGCATTACCTGTTCACAAAAGATTTTGGCCATTTCGTCATCCTGCTCACGTCCTTGTACTTTATCAACGTTTCTATCCTTTGTCTCCCATTTTAAAGGCCCATTTTCATTTGTATGTATTCAAATGCTTAAAATATTCAACCTTTCTTTTTCCTTAAAATGGCTTTAGCCCCATCTCATTCAAGAAATTACCCAACTAGCTGTTGCAGTGTGGCTCAGTTGGCTAGATGTCCTCTGGGGCACCAAAAGGTTGCTGGTTTGATTCCTGGTCAGGGCACATGCCTGGGTTGGGGCTTGATCCCCTGTAGGGGGTGTGCAGGAGGCAGCAGATAGATGTTTCGCTCTCACTTCAGTGTTTACCTCTCCTCTCCCTTCCCCTCTCTCTAAAATCAATTTAAAAATATATAAAAAAGAGAAAGCACCCAACTAGATTGTACTTTCTCTGCAGATTTTTGCTTAAACACACAATTTATTTTCTTGTTCACATATACACACCCAAGAAGAAAAAACCCTGAAACAAAATTCTTGAAGTTTGTGTGATGTATGCGCGCGCGCTCGCGCACGCACACAAACACACACAACCATGCACTAAGGCTACCACTTGCTGAAGTCTGAAGCTGCAAGTTTCTACTTCTAAAGGGGTCTGAAATTTTTATTGTACATGTATATTGATTGAGGCATTTTACCTCTGCTAAATACAACTGACCAATTTTGTTTTTCGTAAATAGCTGCATATGAATTAAAACTCTATGAGGGTATGGTTTTATGGTTTATCTCACTTGGCTTTCTTTAAGCTATACTAATAAAAATATTAAATTGTGTTTGTTAAACAATTACATGATAATTTTTGTATCCTTGACTTAAACTGTTAGGTTGCTTCACTTTCTGCACTGGAGAGGACATGCACTTTGACAACTTTAGCATCTGCTCAGCTCTTATCCAGTGTATGGGGGTCACCATCAGAGACCTCTCACACTGACACCAAGTTCCTGAAGCTCCACCCTTCAGAGACTCATTCCTTTGGTTTAAACTTTACTCTCTTCTAAAGCAGTTTTAAAGTGCTAATGCCAAGGAGAGCTAACACACAGGCCTCAAACTGAGCATTGAGAATGCATTGTTTTCATCTTGAGATTTGAGAATCTAAAGCTTTCCATTCTACAGTCAGGGATCAGAATGAATTCTGGGTTCAGGCTAGAGGAGCTCCCAGGAGAGAGAAAAGGAGCACATGACTTCACAATTCTGCCCCAGAGCCCCAGCTTACAGGACTGACTTGGGAGTCCCAGAATCATGAGGAAATGTAGGGTTTGTGAGTTAGAAAAGCAACTGTTATTAAGTCCCCATAAAGCAACTGCATCATCTCTAGTTTTTAACAAAAACACCCTTTTTAGAAGCCACGTCCCTGTTAAAGCTTTAGTATACAGCAAGCTTTGCAGACTTCATGGTCTGTTGTCAATGCAATAGATTCGGGGCTTTTTTTTTGTTTTGTTTGTTTGTTGCTATTCCTCAGACTTAAAACTAAGTGACAAGTCTGTTAGGCTAAAAGGTCTTGTTTTGTATAGAAAAGCAAAACAGGTAACTTTGGGATTTTAGGCTTAAGGATGGAGGAAGTTGAAGCAATTGCAAGTTCCAAGAGTGTTCCAGACCAAAGCTATGACACTGCAGTCACCGGGTTGAGCACTGAAAGATGTACCTACTTACCTCCCATCTCGTGTTAAAACGGAGAGGTTTGAAGAATAATTCTTGATTGCCTGGTGAGAAGATTTCTGTTGCTAGTAAGGCTTATCATTATTCTTCCCATGAATCCAGGCTTTGGGATTGTGATTTCATGCAGAAGGAACCCAAAGTCAGGCCAGGGCTTGGATTCCTTAAGAATGTATGTCACTTGACTTTTCTGGTTTCCAGCCAGAAAGATGGGCTCTCAACGTAGCTTATCTTGGAAAGGCATGGCAAGAAAATGAACAATTTAGCCCTAGCCCGTTTGGCTCAGTGGATAGAGCATCTGCCTGTGGACTGAAGGGTCCCAGGTTCGATTCCGGTCAAGGGCACATGCCAGGGTTGCAGGCTCGATCCCCAGTGCGGGAGGCAGCTAATCAATGATTCTCTATCATCGTTGATATTTCTTTTTTTTCTGGTTTTGAATTTTATGGCTTTTATTTGTTTTTTTGTTTGTTTTTAGTGCATTGTTTTTACTTAGTCAAATAAGAACTTCAAATTTTTTGAGTATTTCCTTCAGCAAATCAATGTGAAAATCAAGTTTTTTATCTTGTTTTACCTGTTAAGTCCATTTTCAACTTCTTGTTTCAGCCTATAATTTAGTTGGGAATGTGAGTAACAGTTTACAAAGCTTCGCTTCCTAACTTCAACAGAAACATCATTGATATTTCTATCTCTCTCTTCTTCTCCCTTCCTCTCTGAAATCAATAAAAAGGTATTTTAAAAAAAGGAACAATTTAAACTATTAGGCAGCCTAGTTGGTGTGGTTCAGTGGTTGAGCTTCGATCTATGAACCAGGAGGTCACAGTTCAATTCCCAGTCAGGGCACATGCCTGGATTGTGGGCTCAGTCCCCAGTATGGCACAAGCAGCTGTTCAGTGATTCTCTCATCATTGATGTTTTTCCCTCTCCCTCTCCCTCCCTCTCTGAAATCAATAAAAAAATATTTTTAAAAAACTATCAGGCAAAAAATGTAGGCTGATAAAAAAATATTACTTTTTCACCACCACCCCCATAATGGTTTTCTCCCTTTTTGTTACTAACACCCTGGTTTAGAGATAAGCAACACCCCTGGATTCTTCTCTGCCAATGTTGCACTTTCCTCTGCTCACAGATGGCGGTAATTTTATCTCATTCATCTTAGCAGTCATGGAACTCTAAAATTTTTCCCTAAATTCTGAAAAATCCTGAATCTGAAACATGTCGGGTCCCAGTGGTTTTGGATAAAGGATTGTGGGCCAGTATATAAAAGCCCAATACTTTTTATACAATAACACCCTCATTTGTTCTACTCCAGTTATGTATATAATGTTGGTTGCAGTCCATTAATTTTGCCATTTAATTTGAGGACCTCTGTCCTTGATGTCATTAGCCCTTTGGTGTCCCACTGGAGCCAACATTTCTAGCTACCTGAGTGGGTCTGAAAAATGTTAGTGCCAAGAGTTTACTATCATTTTGAAGGTAGTAAAGGACAACAGTTGTCCTTTAGTTTGAAGCATCTGATATATTGGATGGAGCTACAATTCAGCCCCTCCAGAGAACATAAACATTTGGGAATGTTATTACAAGTGTCTTTCAGTGGGAATAGAATTTAGAACAAGGTAACTAAGTGCTTAGTCCTATCATCTCTAGAGAAAACAACAGGATTTGCTGTCAGGCCTGTTTTCATATTAGGTCCTGGGAATTGTATGTGTTGAACCGTTTTTCCCCTTTTTAAACACCAGAGGCAAGACAACTGCATTTTACTTTTTTATAAACTAAACAGTTTATTCTGCATTTTTTCTGATCTCACCCAGACCTAATATATTGAATTAAAATCTCAGGGGCTGGGGTCCAGGAATCTGAATTTTTTTTTTTTTTTTAAATATATTTTATTGATTTTTTATAGAGAGGAAGGGAGAGAGATAGAGAGTCAGAAACATCGATGAGAGAGAAACATCGATCAGCTGCCTCCTGCACATCTCCTACTGGGGATGTGCCCGCAACCCAGGTACATGCCCTTGACCGGAATCGAACCTGGGACCTTTCAGTCCGCAGGCCGACGCTCTATCCACTGAGCCAAACCGGTTTCGGCCAGGAATCTGAATTTTTAATAAGCTTCACAAAAGGTTCTGCGCTCTCAATTATGATAAAAAGAATCAAGGAATGATTTTGACAACACTCATAAGTATGGAGAAGACTTGAAGAAAAGTGCATTTTAGATAGACTTGACATTATTTGCTGAATCACTAAAAAGCAAAACATGTCCAGTTTTGTTTGGACTGTGTAATATGAAGAAAATCTGCCAACAGGACTGTTCTCCCTCCAGTCCTACTTTGTGGCTTTAAGGGCAAATCTTATTTCAGGAAGATGCCTTCAGGGCAACCAGGCCTGTGATAATGGCCAGAGATGAGTGAAAGTCAGGTCAATGACACCTCGGGTGACCGATTGTCCAGGTTTACTTAATGCAGGGAGGTTGCGAGTTAGTGGGGGATAGGACTTGCAATTTTTAATTCAGGGAAGTCCCAGCAAAATGAGTTGATCACTTTAAGACAGCTTTTCTTTGTGGTTATGGGGAAGTATTTAAAAAGTTCTTTTTAAAAAGTTCTTTTAAAAAAAATTGCCGAAACCGGTTTGGCTCAGTGGATAGAGCGTCGGCTTGCAGACTGAAGGGTCCCAGGTTCGATTCCAGTCAAGGGCATGTACCTGGGTTGCGGGCACATCCCCAGTAGGAGATGTGCAGGAGGCAGCTGATCGATGTTTCTCTCTCATCGATGTTTCTAACTCTCTATCTCTCTCCCTTCCTCTCTGTAAAAAAATCAATAAAATATATTAAAAAAAATGTAAAAGTTCTTTTTATTGATTTCAGAGAGGAAGGGAGAAGGAGAGAGAGATAGAAACATCAATGATGAGAGAGAATCACTGATCAGCTGCCTCCTGTACGCCCCATACTGGTGATTGAGCCCACAACCCAGCATGTGCCCTGTCTGGGAATCGAACCATGACCAGTCCATAGGTTGATGCTCAACTATTGAGCCACGCTAGCCGGGCTCTTTTAAGTTTAAAGGGGAAGATTCTCCTCCCCACCCCCAATAAAACCCAGTAATTTAAAGGAAAACATGAGTCAGATCTGTGGCTGGAAACAAGATAGAATTTTAAAACTCAAAATTATAAAATTGGATTAGTTTTTTAAAAAAGAAAATAAAGCTCCAAAAGGATCCTTTCTTTACAAAAAAAAAAAGTGAAACTGCATGGTGATGAGGAAATGGAATCTTTGCAAAAAGGGAAAACCAGAAAATATTGGCTTTGAATATATATATATACATACATACATATGTATGTATATATATATGTATGTATATATATATAATCTTTTTATTGATTTCAGAGAGATAGAAACATCAATGATGAGAGAGAATCATTGATTGGCTGCCTCCTACATGCCCCCCACTGGGAATTGAGTCTGCAACCCGGGCATGTGCCCCTGACTGGAATCGAACCCAGGACCCTTCAGTTGCAGGCTGTCACTCTATCCACTGAGCCAAATCAGCTAGGGCGGCTTTGAGTATTCTTCAACTACTTGCAGCAAGGTTGTAAAAGTTTCAACCCAAAGTCTGGAAAAAGTAGCATAGTTCTTGAGAACTATATGTTTCAAGATGCAAGATTGTTAGTTCAGTTTTTACAATTCACATTTTATTAATGATGCCCCTATTAAAGATCAAATGTTTGATCTTTCCAACAGATCAAACATGTTTACTAAAAAGGCCCTACAAATCTCAAATTTAACATAATATTTGTGTGTCTGCTTTACATTCTAGTTGGTTGAGCCTATCTTAAGAAAAAACTGAAATTTAGTTTAACCATCCGGTAAGCTTGTTAACATCAAAGTAATTAGCAACTCCTACATTAGGAACAGAGCCAGAGCTGGATGTGGCAGAATGTGCATTTTTTAGTACCTGGCATTTTTAGGAATTCATATGGTTTTGTTGCAAAAAACTAGTGAAAATTTTCTTTCTTCCTAGGCGGGGCAGTACTTGTAAAGGAACCTATCCATTAGCTCCTGTGTAAAAAAAGGTTTTGCAATGCCTTATTGAATCCTGGGAAAAGTGGGAGCTAGAAGCTTCTACTCCTCAGGTTTGTTATCAAAGGGTAAGTCTGAGACTTCAGTGTGTGCTAGGGAAAAAAAAAATTCTGAGCCCAGCTGGTGTGGCTCAGTGGTTGAGCATTGACCTATATGAACCAGGAAGTCATGGTTAGATTCCCGGTCAGGGCACATGCCTAGGTTGAGGGCTCAATCCCCAGGGGGTGTGCAGGAGGCAGTGGGTCAATGATTCTCTCTCATCATTGATGTTTCTCTCTCCCTCCCCCTTCCTTTCTGAAATCAATAAAAATATTTTTAAAAGTCTGAACTATACAAAGAATATTAAAGAAATGTGGGTAGGCAAAGCATAATATCCCATAGTTCTGAAGATAGTGTAGTTTAATTGTGTAGTCGAGTATGACTAAAGTCGCTGAAATGGGTAGAAAACGAACATTGGACATAGACAGGCCCAACTCCAAGTATTCTAGGCAGAATGCTGGATGCTTTATCTGATCTCCTTTAATTAATTCTCACAACAACCCTATGAGGTGGACAGTGTTATCCTTATTTTATAGATGAAGAAACTGATGTGTAAATAACCCAAGTAGGGTTACAGTAAAGCCCCTATTTTTCCAATTCCAATGCCCCAAAGTATATCCACTATAGTGAGAAATAATATTGTTTGGAAATCACTGTCTTCTGGAAAACAAGTGCCAGTCTCAGCGCTGATACTTATTAAGTATATAACTCCTGTGCCATAGTTCCCTACCTGTTGAAAGGAAGCAGTACCTCCCGGCTGGTGTCACTCAGTAGTTAGGCCTCAACCTATGAACCAGGAAGTCACAGTTCGATTCCAGGTCAGGGCACATGCCTGGGTTGAGGGCTCCATCCCCATTGTGGGGCGTGCAGTGCAGGAGACAGCTGATCAGTGATTCTCTCTCATCACTGATTTTTCTCTCTTTCTCTCCTTCCCTTCCTCTCTGAAATCAATAAAAATAAAAACAAAATAAAAAAAAGGAAGCAGTACTGTCTTACATATATCACACAGTTGGTATGAAGACTGAGTTAGATGACAGCCTGCAATGCTTGGCAGATTACAGCTTACAATGTGTTGTAGCATTTATTATCTCATTTATAATGGGATGTAGGGAGAGTTTGTTATTAAAGAAGGAAACAAAACCCTAAATGTTTTAAAAACAGTACTTGTTTTTAGTTAGCTTTTGGTGAAGAGCACTATAAATGGCGGTGGGAATGTTAAGTACTCCTAGGCAGTGGTTCTCTAACTTCACTGCGCGTAAGGATCACTTGAAGAGCTTGTTAAAGTGTTTCTTGGACTTCAGATTCTGATTTAGTAGATGGGAGTCCCTGAATTTGTCTTTCTAATAAGCTCACTGTTGATACTGTAACTTTAACTGTTCACTTCACAGAGGCTAATTATTCCAATGTACTGTGTGGTTATATTGGGAACTGGAAATGATGAAAAGTACTGCCATCTTTTTGCTGAGAACTAATTAAAAAAACACCAACTTAGGCCCAGCAGGTGTGGTGTGGTTCAGTGGTTGAGCATTGACCTATGAATCAGGAAGTCAGGGTTCGATTCCCGGTCGGGGCATATGCCCGGTTGTGGGCTCAATCCCCAGTGTGGGGTGTGCAGGAGGCTTTCTTCAAATCACCACGCGTTCCCCTACCCCAGGGCCTTTGCACTCCTATAGCCTTCTGTTGGAATGTATTGTCTTAACTATTTCTTTATATTTCTCAGTTTAAAATTCTCTTGCTGACTGGAACAGAGTGCGTGGAATCTCAGAGATAATCAACCAAAAGACCTTGTATGCAAAATGCATAACCCATGGACGCTGACAGTGGGGTGGAGAGGGTCTGGGATGGGAGTAGGGGGGCAGGCTGGAGGGGGGGGGGCATTGGGGAGAAAAGGGGACATTTATAATACTTTCCACAATAAAGAATTAAAAAAATAAAATTCTCTTGCTGAGGAAAGCATTTATTAATCTCCTAGTTTAGTGTCCTCTCATAGCACTATCTTTTCAAAACAGGTGCCATATTTGTGCACCCAATACCTATTGTAATTACAAATATCTGAAAATAGAAATTGTTTGGTAAACTGTTAGGTAAATCAGGTTATTGTTACTATTCCAGAGGTCTCAACCCTGGGTCATATTAGGATCACCTAGAGAACGTAAAAAAAAAAAAAAAAAAAAGTGTGTGTGTGTGGAGGGGTGGGGTGGGGGAGGAGAGGTGGGGAGCAGGCCTAATCCCATGTTTATGGAATAACTGGTCTGGGGTGGGGTCCAGGTTTGTATTTTTAAAAACTGTCAGGTGACTCTAACATGAGCAATGCTGAGCACTATTATTCTGTCCTAAAAAGCAGTTAAGGTAGAACAGCTATTTGAGCTCAGGCAAGATAGTTTCCTAGGACTCTAGGCCAGAAGACATATATTTATGAACAAAACGTAAATATGTCAGAAGAGTCAGAAAGGAATCACAGGCAGCACAAGTTCAACTGCAGGTGGTTGGTTTGAAAATCTCTGAAAAGATGGATATTCTTACTTCTTTAAAAGTTTAATATCCCATTATCACCAAGACTGACTTCTTGGTTAAGCTTGGCAAGCAGTATTTAAAGTGATTCTGGATGTACTCATACGGTTGGCACGAGCCAACTCTTCTTAGAGAGGACAGGAAGGTCCATACGAGTGAGAATGGTCAAATGACCAGTAAGCAGTAGCACCAGCATTAGAACACAGATCTCCCAACCCCAGTCAAGACCTCTTTTCCACTACAGCATACTTCTTCCTGGATGAACTCTGATCACTCAGGTAATGATTTTTCCCCACTTGGCTTCTCCAATGGCCCATTTACCTCAAAGTACTACTTTAGCTGGTTTTGATATGCAGTACTCCCATGGTTAGTTAACTTCTGGTACCTTCGTAGACTCTATGTTAGCTACAGGAAAAAGAAAACAAATTGTACTAACGAGAGAGAGGGAATAGTTCCAATCTTTTCTTCTTGTTAATAGGATGAACAAAAGCATGATTGGAACATCTTTAGGGTTGTGTTTTGGGTACCAGAGTTATAGTAAATGAAGCATAAACCTCTTGGCAGTGGGGCAAGGAGACACCTGATTGGTAGTGCTGCTCTTATATCTGTCAGGGGGTAAGCAGACATACAGTCCTTAGTTCATGATGTCTGTGTTTGTGGCCAGAGCTGATTCATGCTTGGGACACATTAAAAAAAAAAAAAGCATATTTTCTAAAAGTCATAGTGTTCCTGTGACAGTGGATTACTCACCTGGCAAGACCTCACCTTCAGTTAAAAATCAGAGTTTAAAATGCTGGAAGACCAAGAAGCAGATGCTAGCAGCAGTGAGTTCACTTAGTGCTCAGATCTTGGTTTCTAAACAGAAAGGCTGATTCTAGGGCTAGGGCAGGGAAAATACAAGACATGCCTGTGGCATCTTGTAATATCACAAATGATATAAAATGAAAAGGATGCAGGAAAGCCAAAGGGACATTTGAGGTAACTTGAAAGAGCTCCCGAAGCAAAAGCTAGAACAATCTGAGCAACAAAATAATGTGGTATTGAGTTATAACTCAAAGTATAAATAAACATGCAAGTCTGTGATGATATATATGTAAACTCTAATTTTATATACATATATATATACAGACATATATGACTGATAAGGAAACAGAAGAGACAAACCTTCCTTGGAAGAGAATTTCAAATAACTTACGTAGACTACCCTCTTATCTGTGGTTTCAGTTACCCACGGTCAACTGTGGTCCAAAAATATTAAATAGAAAATTGCAAAAGTAAACAATTCATGTTTTAAATTGCATGCTGTTCTGAGTAGCGTGATAAATCTCACTGTCCCACTCCACCCGCCAGGACGTGATTCATCCCTTTGTCCAGCATCCCCATGCTGTCCACGCTACCCGATCATCAGTCACTTAGTAGCTGTCTCTGTTATCAGATCGACTGCATGGTATTGCAGTGCTTGTGCTCAAGTAGCCCTTATTTTATTTAATAATGACCCCAAAGCTCAACAGTAGTGATGCTGGCAATTCAGATATATGCCAAAGAGAAACCTTTGTAAAGTGCTCCCTTAAGTGAAAAGGTGAACATTCTAGAAATAAGAAAAGAGAAAAACCTTATGCTGAGGTTGCTAAGATTTACAATAAGAACAAATCTGTGAAATTGTGCAGAGGGAAAAAGAAATTCATGATAGTTTTGCTGTTGCACCTCAAACTGCAAAAGTTACAGCCACAATGCATGGTAAAAGCTCACATAAGATGCAAAAGGCATGACATTTGTGGGTGGAAAACATGAACAAAAAACGTGTTCTGACTGACAGCAACGTGTTGGATCAGAAAGCATTAAGTCTGTAAGACTTCAGCAAGGGATCTCCTGAAACAAGTGACCATATTTACATAACTTTTATTACACATATTGTTACAACTCTTCTACTTATCGTTATTGATGTTAATCTCTTACTGTGCCTAATTTATAAATTAAAGTTTATCATATGTATGTATGTATAGGAAAAAAATAGTATATATAGAGTTCAGTACTACCCTCGGTTTCAGGCACCCATGGGGGATCTTGGAACATATCCCCAGATAATGGGATACTACTATACACTGTCCCACTCCAGGAAGGAAGTGGTGCTTAATTCTCCTCTACTCCTACCTTTCTAATAGAGTAAGAAAGAAGGGAAAGTAACTTTAGAATGGAGACCAGCTTAAGGTTAAACATCACCAATGACGTCATGTATGCACCATGGACTTCCTGATGTAATGAGATGGAAAGGGCTCTTATATGGTATTTCTTTTTTTTTTAAATTGATTTTAGAGAGAGGAAGGGAGAGGGAAAGAGATATAGAAACACTGATCGGCTGCCTCCTGCACACCCACTTCCTGGGGTTTGAGCCTGAAACCAGGCATGTGCCCTGATCGGAAAGCGAACTGGTGACCTCATGGTGCACGGGATGACATCCAACTGAGCTACACTGGCTAAGGCAATATAGGGTATTTCTACCCCAAAGCCATAATCCTACTTTAACCATGAGAAAACAAACCAAATTGAGAGACATTATACAAAGTACCTAATCAGGACTCCTCAAAACTGTCATGACAAACAAGAAAGATTAAAAAAAAAGTCCAAGACTAAGGACACTAAGGATACATGATGACTAAATGCATCATGGGATCCTGGATTGCATCTAGGACTAGAAAGAGGACATTTGTGAATCCCAAATAAAGCCTGGAGATAATAGCAATGTAGCAATGCTGATTTCTTAGTTTGGACAAATGTCCAATGGTAATATAAGATGCTAATAATAGGGGAAACTAGAAGAGGGGCATATGGAATGCCATACTTTTCTCTGAAAAATTTCTAAAAGTCTAAAATTATTTCAAAATGAAACACTTATTTAAAAACATTTGGCATATGATTCTCTTTAGCATGTTTCTTTGATGTTTAGATCATTTCAGGATTTGGCAATACAATGTCTTTTTTTGGTAGTTCCAACACTAATAGATTATCATTTTCCCCTCTGGGGGGTACATGTGATACTTGAAGCCAGTACGTAAGAATATTTCTCCCTAAACTACTGAAAGATATGGAGATCTACAACTCACGCTTCTTGAATAGGAAAGGTGATCTTTAAGACTAGTGAACTAGGACTAACCAGTGGTAGAGGTTCTGTCTCAAGGCATTAAAAAAAAAATTTTTTATTGGGCATTCTTTTTTTTAAAAATTTTTTTAAATATATTTTATTGATTTTTTTACAGAGAGGAAGGGAGAGGGATAGAGAGTCAGAAACATCAATGAGAGAGAAACATCGATCAGCTGCCTCCTGCACATTCCCCACTGGGGATGTGCCCACAGCCAAGGTACATGCCCTTGACCAGACTCGAACCCGGGACCCTTCAGTCCGCAGGCCGACACTCTATCCACTGAGCCAAACCGGCCAGGGCAAGGGCATTATATTCTTTACTGAGCAATTTTACTCTCATGACAAGTAGGCTGCCTCAAGCTACACAATAAATACTATGTCCAAAAGTGCCTCAATGAAAAGGTCATATATAACCTCAGACTCCAAGTCAAACGACATCTGAACTTTTCTAGGGTACACGCTAGTGGCCTAATTAACGCAGGGATTCTATTCCCAAGGAAGACTACTCAGGTAGCAATAAATGAGAGGTCAAAATGACCATACCCTACATACCAGTGCTAGAATGTCAGACACCCCAGGTCATATACATCAAGTCCACGAGGTGACAAAGAAAAAAACACACCAATTCTCAGGAACGTGTTCAGAATTAGTTGATGGTTGCAAACATATTGCCATTATATCAAAAGAAGTTACATTTGAAGAACAAAAATTAAATCAAAGACAGAAAATCAGGGTCTACCCCATCTATCAGGTCCTTGATGTTGAGAATATGTGGGGTTTGATCATTTGCTAAATATTGGAGGTCAAAACAAAAAGCAATGCAATGTATGGTTTCATTTACACAGATTCATGGAAACAAAAAGTGGATTAGTGGTTCCCAGGAGGCTGAGAAGTGGAGAATGATAACAGACTGCTAAAGGGTATGGGTTTTCTTTTTGGCATGATAAAAATGTTCTGAAATTAGATAGTGGTGATAGCTGCACAACGGTGAATATACTAAAATTCACTCTACAAGGATGAATTTTATGTGAGTTTTATCCCAGTAAGAAAAAGCAATGCAAACAAAGAGAAAATGCAAAATGTTCCACTCTACAAAATGGGGACTGCAGGAGCATGTAAGTGGCAACGGCATGGTCAAAATAGAAAACGTGAATCCCTATACTTTTGTTTTTTTTAAGAACAAAACTTGAATAATAAAAACACAGAATCAGGTCCAAAAGTCAAAGACTATTTTTTTCTACCTTAGAATTCTTTTGATTTGAATGGAGCCGTTTGAAACAAAAAATATGTATCAAAATCCCCAGAATGATAACCTGTTTGGAGAGATTTAATTGCTGCAAATAATCTAGAATACATTTTGAAATATAAACATAAAACAAAAAACAGATGAAAGATCTATTGGAGTAACAAGGGGCACACTCACTGGGACCGGATGCTGAGGTAGCGTGTGAACCTCTGGCTGTTTTCTGCATGAAGAATCTGAGCTTTGAACGCAGAGACGGTTTGTTCAGTTATATTCCCTGCACTTAGGACAGACTAGATGCTCAGTAAATATTTAATGAATAAACTAAGTTCATGATGCAGCTGCGAACTGGCTTACTGGTCTATGCAAGAATCTCAGATGAGTTTATTTTAAAAACTGGCATCATGTTCTTTTGCTAGAAAAGGAAAAACTCTCATGTAACTTACTGAATAGCTGTAAGTTAATTGGTTTGAATACAGGCATAAAGCAAAGCATCTGAATTAATGGACTAAACCTTAATTAATGAACCTGTTCTCAAAGTTCCAATGGGTGAAAGCTTTTGTGATATCTTGAAGTACAGGCATGTCAATGCGGCCATGTCACCTATTACTTTAAGCCAAAACCACCCAAACCCTGTTTTCTACCCCAAAGCCATAACCCAAGATGACTGTGAAGAGGGTAAGAACCATGACACATTTTGCAGTATAGTTGATATTAATAGTTGATAATGTAATTCTAACATTCCATGTATGAAGCAAAAAGATAGCCAGCAGTAAGTTTGTAGTGTCATTACACTTCATGCAATAGCTGATATTTTAAACATTATTTCTGCTATTGTACTATAGGTATTTATTTCTGAATCTTTTTTCAACCCTGGGATTTTTTTTTTCTAAAAATATTATCTTTTCTCCTCCATTCCTTATGAATGTCTGCATCTAAAATACTGATGAAACCTGGCCAATGTGGCTCATGGTTGAGCGTTGTGAATCAGGAGGTCAGTTTGATTCCCAGTGAGGGCACATGCCTGGGTTGTGGGATCGATCCCCAGTGTGGGGCATGCAGGAGGCAGCTGATCAATGATTCTCTCTCATCATTGATGTTTTTATCTCTTTCTCCCTCTCCCTTCCTCTCTGAAATCAATAAAAATACTGATGACCAGGCAATTACTACCACCTGAAAGTGCTTCCTGGCCAGACCCCTGCAAACAAAAGCCACTGATTTCCAGGAGGCAGTCACCTCCCTGCTTTCCCCAAACTCCCTACCCTTCACCTCTTGTGAGTGCTGCCATCACCTAAAAACCTACATCACTTAAGAGATTCCTGGATTGGAACCCTGTGCACTTCGAACCTGGCAGCTGTTACTACTCAGTATACCAGAGAATCGGGTTGCTTCTTCCAACTGAGGAATCCCAGGAAGAGCCCGCAGCCAGACCCCAAATGGCTTCTCAGGACCCATGTTTCATGACAGATGCTGCCACAGGACTTTTAGTGCTTGGTTCTTTGCGAACAGGTTTCTGTGACTGAGGAACGGGCTCTGTGGGCTCGTGTAGTGGGAATCCTGTATTGTGTTCAACTATACTCTGAAGAAAATGTGTTATTGCTATGGAAAATTTTGTTCCTGTGCTTCACAAATCTTGCCAAGTCTCTTAATATGAATATTTCTTCAGAGATGAAAGCCAGAAGAACTCTTTGGTTATCCAGATACAAAATACAGAGACTGTTTATTTGGGAGCAGCCTGTCTTTCTTCATAAATACTTTTTGTAGAGTGATGGCCTATAAACAATGGAGATGGAAAACCATCTACACAGACTACAGCTTCATGAAAGAAGAAAATAAACAAAAAACAAAAAGCACAGCACGCAGTATCTGTAGGAGAAAGAGAAGCCCAAACCACAGTTGGGTTTTATACTCACCAGAATGGCTTGAGTGCAGATGAAGTTGGGGAACAATGTGATTTTCACACATGGTATTGGTTTGTTTTTAAAACCCATGCCCACTTTTTTAAAAGTGTAATTTAGCTTTGGTTTCTTTCGTTCTTTAGAAGACATCTCTGGAGGCAATTGATGATTTAAAAATCAGTAGTGGAAGTCTCAAAGTGACCCCGTGTTCCTAGTCCCAATTCATATAGTGGAACAGTTAGTTACTAAAAAATTGCCCTTAGGTTTGCTCCCACCCAGAAGGCATTTCTGGTTGGTGTTGGAAAGAAACTTCCCTGGACTCCCAGAGGGGCTCTCCCACAGATGCCCTCCTTACCCAAATCACTTGCATTTCCCACCTGTAGACACACACTCTCTTAGTCCTCCCCCCCACCCCACCTCCTCTCCCAGGAGTGATCTGGATTAGACAACAAACAGCACTTCCCAGATGGGCACACATGCAGCAGCTGTCAAAAGGAGAAGTCAGTTTACTTTCTTTTAAACTTGCAATGTTTGCCTTTATTTTGTTCTTTATATTTTGAAAGTGAAAAGAAATAGTATTGAGTCAATTTCTTTTTGTTTTTTTAAATATTTTTTCTATGTATTTACAAGCCTTATAGTTGCTCTAAAGATTTCAAAAGTATTAAGAGTACTTTTCCAAGGGTAGCACTTTTTTTTAAACAATTCTTGGAGTTCTCTGGTCCACAGCATTTCCTTCTGTTCCAAGGTTATGTATGTTTCAATTACTATTGTGATTTTTTTTTTTCTGAAGCAAGCTGAGAGGCAGGCAGAAAGATTTGATACCAAAAAATAAAATAAAATTAAAATTAAAAAAAAAATCTTTCTTACCTTGTTCACCCCAAACCTTCTTAAATCTGGACTAACTACTCTGCATTAAAACAAACGTGAGGTGCGTCTGAAGGGGAGGGAAATTTATTTCTCTGCTTTTCTATTATACAAGTTGTTTACAGAAACTGCAAATTAAAAAATTACACTGGCATTTGCAGTCCTTAAAATAAATTAAAAGTACTCAACTTTTTTTTTTTTTTTGCTAAACAGATGTGTTTTTTAAAAGTATGAGTCCTCGTTTAAAAAGAAAAGATTATAACAGAAAATATTTTCTATAAATAATACATGTATTTTGGTTTTAGTGCTCCCGCCCTCAGGATGAAGTTTACTTTTTTCCAGTACCTTTTTCCTCCATGATCACCTTTTTTTCTCTTTCCCCTCTCCCACTCGTGCACACGTGGGGGTTTCTGCGAGAATTGGCCTTGCTGCACTGTGATTGGCGAAGACGTGAAACTTTTTAAAAAAATACTTAAATTGTTTCTTTTGTTTCTTTGTGTGTATTTGAAGTTTTAGTTATCCTCCGATTCCTCTTCCGCTTCCCGGAGCCACGTGAAGAATGCTGTGACAGATTTGAGGGCCACACCCTTCCCATTCTGCTCTGCGGGGTCCTTGCTGCTTTCCCATTTGTAGAAGGCATCCTCGGAGATTACCTCTTCGTCATACAGGCAGTCAAAAAACATCCGTAGCAAATCTGTAAGGAAGTGAAAATAAACCATCTGTTTTGGGGCACTGTAGTTGTGAAGGAAAGATTGTATTTCCAAGTAATGAATGAATGCACATTAATTCCCCAAGAAAAGAGCATTCATGACAATTCATTATACTCCCTCTTGATAGTGTAAGTAGCAGAACAACTGTCTAAAGAATAGGAAAAGAAGATGTAAGCAGTCTCAATTATTTCTTATTCCTGTTGTTTTGTTCAATTTGAACTATTTTCTGATAATGCTGAGCTTTTTTTTTAATTAAATATATTTTTATTGATTTCAGAAAGGGAGAGGGAGAGAGAGACAGAAACATCAATGATGAGAGTGAATCACTGAGTGGCTGCCTCCTGCATGCCCCACATTAGGGATCGAGCCCACAACCCAGGGATGTGCCCCCGACCGGAATCAAACCCGGGACCCTTCAGTCCATAGGCCGACTCTATCCATTGAGCCAGACCAGCCAGGGCTGAGCTGTTTAATATTATGTAGTTGTCAACTTAAACACTTTAACAATTAAATAGAAAATAATTTTTTTAGCCCTGGCTGGGTGGCTCAGTTGGTTGAAGCACTGTCCTGTGCACTGAAAGGTCGCTGGTTCAATTCCCGGTCAGGGCACATAACTATTTTGCGGGCTCGATCCCACGTAGCGGTGGGTGTGAGAGGCAACTGATTGATGTTTCTCTCTCACATCAATGTTCTCTCTCTAATATAACCTTAGGTGAGGATTAAAATAACAAAAATTTTTTTTCTTAATTTTATGCATCTCTATTATTTGAAATTTTACAATAACAATATATTATTTTTACAATATTTGGGAGGAAAAGGCAGGATGTACTTCCCCCCTTCTAATATTATTTTCAAAATAAAAAGTAATAATTTACATGAAAAACCTGGGTAAAAACTTTATCTGTCAACTGTTTTCAATGCTCAGATAATCTGGTCAATATTAATTCTCTGTTTTGCTCTCACAATGGAAACCCAATTTATATTATTCAAAAAAGGGAGAAAGTTGGTAAGGATATAAAATCCAACAGAGGGTCTTTATATATTCTTGAAAAAAAAATTCCTTCCTTGCAGGCATTTAAAATTCATTTAAGAGTTTGCAGCTCCGTGGAACCATAAAGGACACACTCAGGGGGCAGACTCAGTGAGCACCAAAGCCCCACTGAAGCAAGTCTTGTCCCAGAGGGGTGTCTCCAGCACAGAAGTTCTCCCACTGCAGACACAGCTGATTCTCATAGCCAATTGGCCTGGAGGTCAATTCCTCCCAGTGATAACTACAACAATCAAGGCTTAACTACAGCAAGACTGTGCACAAAGACCACAAGGGGGTGCACCAAGAGTGTCCTCCTCAGGTAATTGGGGAGGCTGAACCCACTGGGCCCTAGAGGACACTCAGCACAGAAAACCACTTTATCAACACAGGGAAGCATAAAAGATGCAGAGACAAAGAAAAAGGACACAAATGACAGAAATGGAGGAAAGCAAACTACTGGGTATAGAGTTCAAAACCACACTTTTAAGGTTTTTCAAGAATTTTCTAGAAACTGCCGATAAACTTAATGAGATCTACAAGAAATCTAATGAGACCCTCGAGGTTGTGATAAAGGACCAACTAGAAATTAAGCATACACTGACTGAAATAAAGAATATTATACAGACTCCCAACAGCAGACTAGAGGATTGCAAGAATCAAGTCAATGATTTGAAATACGAAGAAGCAAAAAACACCCAACCAGAAAAGCAAAATAAAAAAAGAATCCAAAAATACGAAGATAGTGTAAGGAGCCTCTGGGACAGCTTCAAGCGTACCAACATCAGAATTATAGGGGTGCCAGAAGATGAGAGAGAGCAAGCCATTGAAAACCTATCTGAAGAAATAATGACAGAAAACTTCCCCTACCTGGTGAAAGAAATAAACTTACAAGTCCAGGAAGCACAGAGAACCCCAAACAAAGGAATCCAAAGAGGACCACACCAAGACACATCATAATTAATATGCCAAGAGCAAAGGACAAAGAGAATCTTAAAAGCAGCAAGAGAAAGAAAGTCAGTTACCTACAAGGGAGTACCCATACGAATGTCAGCTGATTTCTCAACAGAAACTTTGCAGGCCAGAAGGGAGTGGCAAGAAATATTCAAAGTGATGAATGCCAAGAACCTACAACCAAGATTACTTTATCCAGCAAAGCTATCATTCAGAATTGAAGGTCAGATAAAGAGCTTCACAGATAAGAAAAAGAGAAAGGAGTTCATCACCACAAAACCAGTATTATATGAAATGCTGAAAGGTATCCTTTAAGAAGAGGAAGAAGAAGAAAAAGGTAAAGATACAAATTATGAACAACAAATACACATCTATCAACAAGTGAATCTGAAAATCAAGTGAATAATCTGATGAACAGAATGAACTGGTGATTATAATAGAATCAGGGGCATAGAAAGGGAGTGGACTGGCTATTCTTGGCGAGGAAAGGGGTGAGGGGAATGCGGGAAGAGACTGGACAACAATCGTGCACCTATGGATGAGGACAGTGGATGGGGAGTGAGGGAGGAGGGTGGGATGGGAACTGGGTGGAGGGGAGTTATGGGGGGGGGGGAAGAGGAACAAATGTAATAATCTGAACAGTAAAGATTGAATTAATAAAAATTCATTTAAAGTTAGCTTGCTAATCATTCATATTAATGGAGGGATGCAATGGAATAAGCAATAATTGCTACTAAATATTAGGTTTAGAATGAGTTATATTAAAATTTTTCTTTAGATTTATTTTGGAATTTTATTAGTCCAACTAATATTGAAGTCACTTTTTTCTCTAAACCCCAGTTGGTCTATGGGGAAATGGAAGCAAGTGGCTGATTATGTTATTGGTAAGTCTAGAATTAAACATCTCTCCGGGGATTATTAAAGTTGATAATTTCATCTACTTATAACCATCTCTTGAAAAGTTAGTGTCCTCATCCTATAATAGGAAATGGAAGCCATATGTTAAACAACCTTTCAAAGGTCTGGAGAGAGAGAAAACAAAGTGAGATTCATTCTCTTATTCACACTTAGACGTCTCTCCAGTTATACCCTGAGAATGATTTGTTTCAATCTTCTCCTTTATCTCCTAGAACAGTGATTTTCAATCTTTTTCATCTTATGGCGCACATAAAGTAATTACTAAAAATTCTGTAGTACACTCAAAACAGTATTTTTTTGCTGATTTGACAAAAAAAAAAAAAAAGGTATAATTTTGATTCATTCACACCCGACGGCTATTGTGTTGGCGGTTGTCATTTTTTAATTTGACAATCTAAGGGGAAAGAGGTCAGTGTCCCTGACTAAATAGTCAGGAATTGAATATTGCACAAAATTCTTGCATTGCCCTGGCTGGTTGCTCAGTGGTTACAGCGCCGGCCCTCTCACCAAAGGGTCACGGGTTCCATTCCCAGTCAAGGGTGAGTAACTGGGTTGTAGGTTCGATCCCCAGCCCCAGTCAGGGCACCGTGCGGGAGGCAACCAATCGATCTCTCTCTCCCTTTCACTCTCTTTACCAATCAATGAAAAAAATATCCTTGGGTGAGGATTAACAGCAACAAAATTCTTTCGGCACACCGGTTGAAATCTCTGTCTTAGAGGGATTCATCAGCACTAGCAAAGAAGGAAAACTTTGCAAAAGCTATAACCCAAGGAAGTGCCAAAGATCTACTTTATCTCTAAAATAGCCACATAATATCTACTTTCACAAGTTTCAACTAAATTTTCAAGCTTTAATACAATTCAATTAACTTACCAATATCACCAAGTCTTAGCTGTCAGGTTACCTTATTTGTCTGATTAGCCAGAATTAATCATAACCCTTAACTGAAAACTAGTCTAAAATGCCTTAATGACTTTGCAGGATTCTGAGGATTCTGAAGCGTATCATTCTCTTTCATTATTAAGACCTATGTTGCCCTAGCCAGCTTGGCTCAGTGGAATGAAGGGTCCCAGGTTCAATTCTGGTCAAGGGCACATGCCAGGTTG